TTCTCCAGGGACTGTCCGCTCCTGGTAACATGCCCAAAGTGTGTGAGATGAAGTCTTCCTGTCCTTGCTGCTAAGAAACCTTCTGGTCATCGTTCCTCCAAGACAGATTTGTTCGTGCTTCGGTTAATCCACAGTCTATTCCGTACTCTTCATCAACACCATAATTCCAAATGCATCAGTTCTCCTTTGGTCTTTTATATTCCTTGTCTAGTTTACTCATGCGTATGAAGCAATTGAAAATGCTGACATGAACAGACAGCCCTTCATCCTCAAAGTGACTTTTTGCTTCTGAACCTGAAACATCCCACAAGAGCACTTTTGCCGCAGATATTCCCAGTCAGTGTGTCATTTGATTTCTTGACTGCTGCTTCCATGGACAATGTGGATGTTCATTAGACCTAATTAAAATGAAATCCTTGTCAACTTTTAATATTTCTTTTTGTTTGTCCCAATACTGTTTTTATTGGTCTCATTGTGAGAATTTTTGTTAAAGTATAACCCATACTGAATGCTATTGTCTTTGATCTTCATCAGTAAGTTCTCTTCAGAGGAGGGAGATGGTTCCAAAATAACTAGACAAATATCCAAGGAAAACATACTATAAAAATACAAACCCACTGTCATCAAGTCAAGGCTGATGCACAGCACCCTTCCAGAAGGCTTCTGAGCCTTTGTGGGAAGATACTTCGACCATGGAGCGAATGGTTACACACTGTGGTACCAGGGCTCCTTCATGAAGTGAAAGAGACCTAAAATTGGTATTGTCAAGAAATAAAAATATGCTCTGAAATATAAATCATATAAATTTATCAGTTGTATAAATCTTTGAGGTTGTTAACATAATTATGGTATATTTGAAGGAAAAATTGTTTTAGCATTTACCCAATTATTTTAAATTAACACTTAGTAAAAAGGAGTTACAGAAGAAATCTAATGTTACAGAACAAACCTGAGTAAAAACATAATTGAGTAATAGACTGTCAAAAATAATTGAATAATAGATGTCTAATTATTTGTCAGTTTTTAAAATATTACTCAAGATCTTTTCCAACCAAATTTGGCAATTATTAATTTTTTCAGTAAAGGGGAAAATTTTATAATAGACTTTTCCCTTTGTTTTTATCACAAATCTACTTTAATTACAGAATAAACACCTTATCATTCAAAGCGGAAGACTTCGATTGCCTTTTTATATACATTGATGTCTCTCAAATGAGTAAATTTTGAGAAAGCCTACAGGTAAAGGCCTAACAAGGAGAGGAACACATTCAGTGACCTTCTTTTCCAAAATTCACAGTTGTTTTTATTCAGAAGGAATATCTTTCTAAATAGTTACCAAATGTCTTTAATAGATTAGGCAGTAAACACAAAATGTAGTAGGCAGGTTTGGCCGTTGAAACATAAAAATAACATCCCTGACTCCCAGTTATTCAAGACCACAGGTTAGATAGATAGATAGATAGATAGATAGATAGATAGATGACATGATATATAGATATAGATGATATCGAAATAGAGATATATAGATAGATACAGATATAAATGCTTTTGTTATGTGCCCTTGAGTTGGAAGCAAGTGAGAGCTGACCGTCCAGGGGATTCTCAGAGTCTGGAAGTTGCACAGGAGGAGATTTCACATTTGTCTACTTAAGAAGAATAGCAGGTGAAATAGAAACTTAGACGTAGAAAATGAAAGACTTAAAAAAAAAAAATAAAGCTTTTGGATCAGCCGAGGCAGCGCGAGGACGCAGCGCGGGATCGGACCTGCGCTCGGCTCGGTGGCAGAGTCCCGTGTTGCGTTCTGGTTCCTAAGGAAGGAAGAGCAAGGCAGCCCTGGAGTGGCTTTACTTTACAGTCATTTCAACAGAAGGGTGAGAGATGGAACCCGAAGAAGAAAGGATTCGCTACAGTCAGAGACTGTGCCGACAAGATGGCGGACGGGGAGCTGAACGTGGATAGTCTCATCACCCGATTGCTGGAGGAACTCTACTATGCTTAGTGGTAAAAAGATGCACTACAGCCGGCGCGGCCGCGGCCCTGCGGCCCTGCAGGAGCTGCATCACTACTGACCTGCCTTCGGGTTGACTTAGCAATTCTGGTAAATCACCACCTGTAGCAGAATCATCACCTGTA